ATGGAGTGTGTTGATATCACGCTGTAGAATTTCCATATCATCATCGCTATTTATCTTCATATAACTCTGATGTGTAGCCATTCATACGTACATGTAATTGTCTATCTGTTAAGGATGACTTCAGCCAATCCAGCGCACTAACTTTAACATCGTATTGTTTCAATTTATCGATAAGAATATCGTAATTTGCCATATCGAAGGCCTTAGAGAAATCCGTATAGACGGTATGAGTGCTCAATCCTTGGTTCATTGCGTCCAGAACGTATCCTGTATAGAGATATAAATTTATAACTGTGGATGGTACTCCTACAAATCCGTGTTGTTTTGTAGATATAATATTCTCGAAGGTTGATAATATTTGAAGAAGGATAATTTTCTCGAAGAGCTTAGCAATGGATGACTGAATACATACGGGTCTATAGTTAACCATGTCACTTCTAGAATCTGCTTTATGTATTGGATAGATGAAGGAGGTTTTCCACACTGATGGAAAAATGCCAGACTTGAGCGATGCATCAAATAGATGAGAAATAGGTTCTGCTAATACGATTGCGCAGTTTTTCAAAAGTATATTAGGAATACCATTAGGTCCTGCTCCCTTTTTGGGGTCCAGTTTGTGCAGTTGTTTATAAACGACATCGTATGATACCTGGAGCTTTGATAAATCCATTTCTTGGCTGTGACCCTCGTTATGATCGTCATGTAAAGGCAATCCGTCGTTATTAGTTTTATAAATGCTCTTAAAGAACGATGCAAAGAGATTACTTCTTCTTCATTACTAGCTGTGGTTTCCTTCCTTCATGGTAGCCGGGATATCTGTGTCACTCCTTTAGTAAATTTACACATTGTGCTTGTGGGTAGCTAAAAGGTAGGTTGTAGTCTCCTAAGATTAACAGCTTGCAGACACGGTATTTGTTTTTTAGGTATTGAACGGTACTGGTATGATTAATGTAAACGTCCAATGGTGACAGTGGAGGTAGATAAACACAATCTATTACTAAGTCGCCTTCCGTAAATTTAACTTTAATAAATATGTGTTCTATATTATTGTCTTCTCTTTTTAACTGTTCTGTCGATATTTCACCCTTTACCGTTATTAGTACACCACCTCCACGTTTATGGCCACTTGTGTTGCTGTCTCTATCTTTCCTAAATAACTCAATTATTTCACCATCCGATATCGAAGGATGTAACCAGGTTATAAATTGATGTAATTTTGTTCTTAAACCTCTCATGTTTTGATATATTATTGTTATTTTGCATTTCTTTATATTTTTCTTACGGCGCATGAAATGCCGGTTTATCAACTATTTTAGGCACTCCGTTGATATATTATATTACTTAATTGTCTTTTTGTTATCACCATCTTTGATTAGCTTATTCAGCTCTGTTCTGAGCGTATTAAGATGCTGCTGTGCGTGTGTTAAGCTAGGCTTAAATTTAATGCCTGTGTCACCAGCTGGATTAATCTTCATCACTTCCCTAGTTATTGCTGGGGATGGTGTGTATAGTAATACTGGACGGGTCTTGCCCTGCTCTGGATTGCCGAGACGACGGAGTTTGATGCCTTGTTTGACAAATCTTCTGGAAATAACGCTGCAACCTGCTCCGTGTCGTCGTTACTCCGATCCTGCTGTTTTTTTAGATTCCGGTACATTAAAAATAACGACCTCAGACTCACGTTTCTTACGCTCGTTCAGTTCAGAAATTATAAAGTTGGGATCCCCATTGAAATTACTGATTGAATCAAGTTGCTTTTGAATTTTGTCGATCCTTTTACCCATTAGCTTCTGCTGCTGGGCTGTTTTATTATTTTGTTCCGTGAATTTGTTACGCAACCCAGTGACATTGAGCTCTAGTTTATCCATTTATTTTTAAATGGTGCTAGATATAATGAACATACATACGTTCAATTACATCGGTACTAGTAGACAAAGCTGTGTGTTGTCCATCGTCCACCTCGAATTCGTCATCCGACTCAATAATACTAACCTCTAACTTGGATGTCAAACAATTCCAAGTTGTAAAACCTTTATTACAAAACTCAGCGAGATAATCTTCAAATTATTTTTCACTTCAGCTACTACTTCTTGTGATACCACTTTTTACAAACATAGCAGTCGATGCTACTAGTATTTTTTCTAAATATTTTATTGCAACATTGACAGGTTTGTTTACTTGCCGCCATCTTGTATTTTGATATATGAAATTTTTTAGATATTTCGCACAATTTATATATTGAATAATAATATATTATCTTTAATATTCGATGATATGATAGTTAATTCAATGCTTTTTGGCGATATTCAATTATGTTGGCATTTAATAAATCAGCATAAAGTTTTTGCTGAAAAAATATTTTTCAGCTGGTGCCAAATTATCAAATTAATAATAGAAAACAAAAGTTTTTAAATAGATTTTTGCAAAAGGAAGGCAAAATCTGGTATTGGGGCGGCGTAGTTGACCGATTGACTTGTATGTTGCCAACGACTCTCTCTTTACCCGAAATGCTGCCGGCCAGCGACTTGAGGATTTTGTTGTGGTTCTGTACCTCTGTGACAATCACGGTTGTGTGCGGAGTGAAGGAGTGCAGACTGTCAGATGTTTCCTCTAAAACTTTAGGGTTATTTACCGTCGAAATTTTAAGATCATCTACGGAACCCGCTGTTCAATTCCCCTTAATTTAGTTTGTTCATCTCGCAATAAAACGTAACTACTGGGGAAAGGGTAGTTATCGTGCGATTAGACCCCCCTAGTTTGGCAGAGTTTCTAGGCTTCAGTAGTGTGACCACTCTTCCGATTTTTCTTACATCGCGTATGTAAAGGGTGTTCAGTGACAAATTGAGGGCTTTGGTAAGATAATTTACTCCCGTAGAGCCTAGGTGTTTTAACATCAGCATATTTATTCCGTCTAGGCAACCGTCGGTTAACACATCTTTTCGCCTTATTCACCAAAGGGTGCAGTATAAATTTTCGGCTATAGTAACTCGCGCACTTCTTCGGGTCTGAGGAGGCACGGCCGTCGAATTGAATTTCGACACGGTCATCGTTATGTCTCCTCGGATTGGACAGGGATTTGACGGTTTCCCATGTTTGATCACTCCGGTAGAGAGATTACATGACTTCAAGTGTTCCACCCATTTTCCGTTTATGTTGATCTACCAGTTGGAGAATCTCCAAATTGATGCGGGGATCACAGGGGTCGACCTTACGTAGGGAATCGCGCTCATTTTCTAAGCCTGTTGCTTCAGCTGGGAAATTTTATCGTAGTTCTTGAATTCAACCAGCGGGGATGAAGCGAGCAGTAGCAGCAGCGATCACCTTGCGGAATTGAAGTTCGCCAACGAATACTTCCGTTGGAATGTGAAGTGCAATGAAGGTGCTCTCAGTGAATTCTGTGAAACCGAGCCATTTAGCTTTGTTAAAAATAACGTAAGTGCAGTTGTCCCCAAAAATAATGTTTGGAAGCTTCTCGATCGACCGCTGTGGCACTTGTCGCAGTAGTGCATGGGCATGGGGTCACATAGAGGTAGAGTTTCGAACGAGCCTTTTGGCACAAACGCAACAGAAAAATTCCTTCCTAAAAGTGATAATAATGTTAACTTATTACTTACTGATCCAAACACGTCTAGGTCCTCGAAATAACAGCCCTTGGCGGGTTAAAATTTGGGTCAATTCCGGTATCGTATAACCGGCAGTTGTGGGAACGTCTTTTTACTCCCTGTTTCAGATAAAGTGGAATGGTGGTACAAAGTTAAAAGAGTCAATAACAGTATGGGTACGTAATAATTGCAGCAGTACAGCTACTTTGTTGCATATTTGCTGATACTCTGCTGTTGTGCAAAAAAATTTTGTGTTGCCGATTATTTGCATAAAGTGACAGTAGAACGTGATGCTGTTGCAAGTGTTGCCAAAAATTTTCGCAGAACGTGATACTTTGACAAATTTGCAACAGTACTGTCGTGATTGCCATCTCGAACGCACCCTATTTAATTTATGAATAAAATATTTACATATCAATTGAAACCAAATGCCATTTGCTTCAAACAGCTGTTTCGATGTGAAATAAAAATACTTCGAAATAAATTAAATCACTCGGTTTGTAAAAACGAAATCCCATCAATTTCATTCTGTTTCTAGAACATATCTGATAATTTAGTTTAGCGCTGAAAATTGGTTAAATCGGAATAAATGAATTTAATCGGTCCAGACCTTGGTCTAAACCTAATATTATATAATGATTTCCGATTCTCTGGTTGGGAAAACCCGACGTACGCTGACGTTAAAACTCGTTAAACCAATTTTGGCAGTTGCCATCGAAGGAGAAGAGTTACCGTATACGGATAATAATTTTTCCCAGTGACGACAAACTTAATCTAAAACTTACCGATCCAAACAGGGTTAGATCGTCGAAATAACAGCCCTTGGCCGGATAAAATCCGGGTCAATTCCGGTATCGCAGAACCGGCTGTTGTGGGAATTGGACTAGAATTTATCACCCAAACGGGGATTAGATAATCGTTATAACAACAACAACAACAACAATAATTTTTCCCATATTTCTAAAATCCTCGGAATCTCCCGTTTCCAAAGAGCCGATTCGGCTAACTGTATTTTAACATACGATCATACGGTTACATGCTAGTGGTAAATTCCTTTTACGATTGTGGCTTCTGCGGATCGGAACGCCCTGCTTGATGCGCGGATTTAAATACTTTATTTCATTACATTTGCATATCTGATTCGCTTTGCAACATTAATCTCTAATTTAACGTTTTCAGTTTAGATTACATTAAATAATACAATTTATAATCAGCTGGTGAAATTATTAGTATTTTGCATACGAACGTATTTAAATTTGTAGTTGATGTGCAGGACTTCAACAAATATACAGACATTTTTACATACAGACAAATTTACATGTCTATTTACTTATATAATTTAAAAAGGAAACATTGCGTGCAGATTTATCATTTGGGTGTATTTGTTTTATTTTGCAGGGAAGAATATGGATTATTGGCTTAAACAAACCATATTATCAGACAATCAGGATTTATCAACCGTTTGCTTCAAATTGCTCAGCTGGTTGGATGCCGAACTTTGTGGCACAATGACGTATAAATATATTGAAACAATTCTTACGGGTGCCGTGTTCGTTGATATCATATTTGAAATAATGGGAGAAGAAATGACTAAAGATTTAATGGAGACACATGCGCACCACAGGCTATTTTTAAAAGATAATTGTAAAATATTAAGTGAAGTAGGGGTAACTGTACATTCAGCTGCTAATATTTTAACAACTCCTGAAGGATATAAATATATTTTTACGATTGAAAATATACTAAAACATTTTCTAATTGATGTTAACTTGATTTATAATTATAAGCGGTCATCAAAAAATATAAGTATAGATAATGCGAAGTACAAAATGCTGTTAATAGTTCAAAGAATCTTCCAGTTGCCACCGAAAAATATTGATATTTCCGTGAATAGGTTGGTATCTCATTGTGATTTTTCTTTACTTGGGCATATTTTTTTAGAAGAAACAAATAGCTTACATATTTGCAAATATAAGATTTTAGAACATAAAATTTGCAAAAAAATTTCCCAAGGAAATATAAGTTCATCTTTTATAAAATCGATGTATGTAACAGCCTCAAGTTCATTAAAGGGGAACACCTTTTTAAAATCATGCCTTAGAAATGATGTTTTCGGTACTAGCTTGGTACAATTTTTCATGCTATTTTTTGAAAACCTTGAAAAAGAAGGATATAATATTACAATAAATTCCCAGCATAAGTTATCTGACATAATTTTTTTAGTGCATTGTGCACTACATTCAAAAACATCTTGTTCTCAATTAAATAAAACAATTCGTACTAACAAAAGCGTTGCACAACTTATAAAAAAGTCATTTTTTATTTATTAATAAGTATAATTAGTATGTATGTATGTATATGTTAACAAATATTTTAATTTCCAATAAAAGTAACATATACTGAATACCAGTACGTGAAAAGGGTGAAAAGTAAAACTATTACTAATGGGTAAGATCTGGATTTATACCTAATTTAAGTGGTATAACTACTATCTTCAATGCTCTCAAGATTTCTTTTGAATATTGTAACGGATTTCTGGATAAATCGTCTACATATAACACACTCTTGAGTTCGATCACTGGATTGTTAAATAAAAGTCCCAATTTAATGGCATACACTTATCTTTAATTTTTGTTCCAATAACTTACCACTTATTGCTCGTTATTTGAGCTTAAAACTTCTTCCATATGTCCCAATTGCTCTTAACACGACACCACTTTAACTAGAACTGTGTTCGCTGCACAATCTGGCAGCCCTTATATAGTAAATCTTTATCAAAAGTTCGCTACTAGAACATTCAACTACGAATTCGAATAGGAAATACGAATAGAAAACGAAAATAAATGGTTACAACAACTTTTTTTTAACGTGAAAAACGAAATTTTTCCACTAACGAAAAATCATAATACTTTTGCGCTTGCTTTAGAAGACATATTAGCGCAGTGTTGCACCAAAAGGGCTGCCCGTTGGTTTGAGCATCAGGTATTGTTTATTCGATTCGCTGGAGAGTAACGCTTGGCGAATCGAAAACAGCTGCGTTTAGTAATGAATAATGATTGTGGAATTCATACATATTAACATACGAAGAACTAGAGAATAGTCAATGGGGTTACATTCACACTTGTTGTTAAATATTTTTTTGAGAGAACTTACATTATATTATATATTGATTGATTATTTAATAGGATTAAACTAGTATTTCAATTGTAATAATTGTGCCTATATGCTGCTCTCTTATAAATTGATAGTAAATAATTTTGGAGATTCCTTAAAATTACCAACTTGAAAAACTGAGAACAGAAATTAAGTAATTTCACGACAAAAATTCGGAGAATTATAAAATAAAATGTGATTTAACTTTATTCTAGATATAAAAATAACACATTAGTTTTAGCAGGAATAGTACCCGACCATCAAGCAACGGCAACAATCACTGATACGTCGCACATATTCGGAAAATGAAATAAAAAAGATCGAGCTTTACGCCGTTGTGTTACATTCCACCTCAACAATGCCCCCAAGCATTCATTGTGGAATGTAGGAAGTGTGGAACGCGTTACGTGACTATATATCCTACTTCGAAGAGTGCATTCGAAAATTCACACTCGGGTTGTTATCTGCGTACACAAGCTATAGTAGCCCCTTGCTAAGTAAAATCCTGTTATAATATCCAACAAGGGAATACGGGCAACTAAAACCAGTAGTCCTCCGCAATAGCGGATTAATTTAAACTGTTGTTGATTTGTTAAAAAATATGCACCATTTATTGCAATTTAAAATAGATTATGAAATACTTAAATTACTTACATAACAATATATAAATATGTACATAACATACGTCTGAAGGATGTGCTATTGATTTTGTTAATATTACTATTTTATTATTTATTTAATTTGTTAGATCCAATGTTCTTCCTGCTATGAACGTACATTACCGAGAAGCGGTGTGTCTTCTGCAGCTTTTGAAATAATAATTGTTCGTTTTGAAGTAGTAGGTCCTGCCTCTTGCCCCTCTTCCACAGTGTTTTGAATAGAACGTTCAGTCTGAAATTTTTTAAAAGCAAATAGGTTTTGGCATTAAAATGCATAGCTACAAATGAACAATGAATTTATGACAAATTTTTAACAGCACAAAATCAAAACGTATCATTGAATTCAACATATAGGCTAGTGCAAAACCCTTTAAGAATGGTAAAGAGTGAAAAAAATTATGGTAGGTTGCACCCATTGTGAAAGGTAGATAAAATAAGAAAAATTAAAGAAAAAATAATTTACGCTAGATCTGTGAGGTGGTTGATTAAGGGTTAAAAACAGACCATAGGTCGCGGTGCATACCTCAAAATTAATCTATTCTAGCTATTCTAAGAGTTAAAAACAATTGATTTCGATTTCTGGCAAACTGTGATTCCTATGAGATGACATCCTAAAAAGATATACAACTTTTGTACTTACACCTTTTTCACATAACCTCAAAACGTATGTTAAAAATTTAAATAACCAAGTCTTGTTTTTTATTTTTATCTTTTACAATTTTTTTTTTAATTTGGTGTAAACTAACCTTTTTATGTCTCAAACGAACTGTATTTTTATATATTTAATAATTTTTATTTTGACTTAATGTCAGAAAAAACTTTAATTTTTAATCGAAAATTCTCACGTCAAAATATCAAATTTTTTTAAGAAACGCGGCAGGCCTTTTCTTCGTCGCTAATTTTCTCAAAAAATTCAAAAAAAAAAGTACGAGCTGTTTTGTGCTACGAAATAACAGGTAGATTAATTTAAAAACAAAACCAGCTTTTAATCGTCGGAAATCGATATAATCTGTTTCTAAGCCTTAAAAATTCAACTAGCCCCTCGCGTTCCCCTTTCCGACCTCAGATCGACGGTAAATAATTTTTCGTTTAATTTTTGTTATTTTGTCTTTTATTCCAATGGGTTTCACTCCAATAATACATTGAAGGGTATTTTAGTAAGATTCAAGATTAATATTTTAATTTACATATGTAAGCATCCTAAAAAAATCAGTGTAGAAAATAATATGTCTTTCGTAAAAACGCATATGCTTTTGACATAGTTTAATTAGAACTTAAAATTTTTCGGATAGCTTCAAGGTATAACATAAAGAGGACGACAAGCTCGGCTATGAATTTAGCACAGGTATAAGACTTAATATATGTAAATATTACAATCAACAAAAATGTTTGAATCAATCATTCTACCAAGAACAAATTATACGGCAATACCAGAAAGCAATACTACAAATACTGGTTATTACCATAACTGTTGTCGCATTCCAATTATAATATTTTCATTCCTGCTGTCTAAATTCCTATCGTTACAGTTCATTAATGCCATATTTCAGTTTTAAATGGTTCAAAAAATATTTGTGTTCATGGACTTATTAAGTTTGATTCAAGTACTCATATTCAAGTCAATGGAAACGTCAAACAATTCGATTTTATAGTAACTGATAGCAACAGTTATATTCCCACAAAACATAATGTAATTCAAATTAAATTAATTTGCTATGACTTGCTGACCAATTAATCTGAGAAGTTCAAATTTTGTCATGCGTGAAAAAAACTTAAAAAAGTTTGTCATGTCTGAAGATGTTATTGTATATAATGGGGATGGACCGCTCTGTATAAAGTAGTTCATCAGCAAAGCTTGATAAATATGTTGTTTCTGTGTAAAAATAGAGGCAAATCGGGTAATAATCGTAAACATGAACATCGTGATAACTCTTTGAACAACGAAATCTTACTAACTACTCGACCAACACAACCACGCCTAAATCCTATCGCTAAAAATTTAACAAAACTAATACTTCTAATACTATGTTACTTTTATTGTCCGAAATCAATCCATACCTGTTCCGAACTTTACATACCATATATTAGAGTCTTTTTCAATTCAATATACATATATATATTGACTAATATTTAATATATTTCAAAGAAATTAAGTGGTCATATTTTTTTGAACAGAAAGTGATTTGATGCCAAAAATGTATGAAATCGGTCTAGACCTTATCTAATGATTTTCACTGTTGTTGTTATTTTAACGGTTATCTAGTCCCCGCTTGGATGATAAGTGATAGTTTGGTTGTCGTCGAGGTCATCTAACCGGAGGCCCAAGAAACGGGCTGTTTCGACGGGGTCGGACCATAGGGAAAAAGGTGTTAGATAAGTTGGGTTTGTTGGGCATGCAAAGAGGTGGTTAGTATCATGCGGGGCCTCATTGCATGCAGGACATATGTTGGGTATGTCGGGGTCTATTCTGGATAGGTAGGAGTTTAATCTGCTACAATATCCAGAACGAAGTTGCGCGAGGGTCACTCTGGTTTCGCGGGGCAACTCGAGCTCTACGTCTGCTATAGGTGGTGGTTTGCCTCCTAGTACGCCATTCACTGAGAGGGAATCGATGAAGGTGTTAATGGCTCCACTATGAATGGATTCCACACATCGGGTATTTGAAGAGTGGACATCGACAAGTTTAGGACCTTGGTGAGATAGTTTACTCCCGTTGAGCCTAGATGTTTTAGCATCAGCAGCCGTCGGGTAACACATCGTTTGGCCTTGTCGGTCGAAGGGTGCAGTGTAAACTGCCGGCTAAAATAGCTCGCGCACTTTTTGGGGTCCGAGGAGGCATGGCCATCGAATTGAATTTCAACCCGGTCGTCATGTCTCCTCGGATTAGACAAGGCCTTGACAGTATTCCAAAGCTTACAGACTTAGATTAACACTTACCGATCCAAACAGGGTTAGATCGCCGAAATAACAGCCCTTGGCCAGATGAAATCCGGGTCAATTCCGGTAACGTAGAACCAACTGTTGTGGGAATGATTTTCACTCCCCTAGTTCAATTGTTACATAACGCAGGAGTAATATGAAGAATATACTTATATTTATAATATGTTAATCAATTTGACTTGAAAAAGATGTATGTTCACATGCCACAAATAGAAAATTTTAATTTGATACAAGAAATGAGGGTAATCAGTTGAGATTTTACCCTAGTATCAAGGTATTTAAAAAAACTTATTTCACACGCCGTAAATTCTTACAAACTAAGAGAGTATCTGTTGTAGCGGTTATCTGTGTGGAAATAAATAAGTCAAGTGCTGTCAACGACACATCTACTCAGTTCAATGCGGATTCCTTATTAAGGCATAACTGCATCTTCAATGCTAACAAGTTTTGTTAAATACAGGTTGGTTGAAAAGATTCTGCGCTCGAAATGAAAAACTATTGTTTTTGGTACGTAATATATTTTTTTATTTAATATAATTTCCCTTAACTTCAATACATTTATTCCAATGATACGCCAATAATTTTATGCCATCCCTATAATGACTTTCCGGAAGCTCTACAAAATACCCGTCGACGGCAGTAATAGTTTCTTCATTTGATGAAAAACGCTTTCCACGAAGGAATTGTTTCAGGTTTTTGAAGAGGTAGTAGTCGCTGGGAGCCAAATCTGGTGAATATGGTGGATGCTCAAGTAATTCATACTTTAATTCGTTCAATTTTGTCATTGTTAAAACACCTTTGTGGGCAGGTGCATTGTCTTGATGAAAGATTATTTTTTGTGCGGGAAACCAGGTCTTTTCTCACGAACTGCTGATCCAAAAGGCTGCAATAATAATGCAAGAAATCGGTTTTATTCTGCTTAAAACGCTTCAAACTATGTTGAGAAATATGTTTTCGATCCAGTTTTTCTTGAATTGTTAACGTTTGCGGCACTAACTTTCCAAACAGCTTTTGCATATGTAATTCTCCATGTAAAATATTAAGTACTCGTTCGTCTGAGATGCCTAGGGCATTAGCAATTTCACGCTTAGTCAAACTTCGATCTTTACTAATAATATTATGAACTTACTCAATGATTTCAGGTTTTTGGTCGTGCTTCGCGATCGTTTTCAAGCCTAGTACGACCACTTTTAAATTCACCAGCCCATAACTCATCAGTGCGTTTTGAAGGTGAGAGCTCCTTATACACTTCTAAAAATTGTTCATAAATTTCCTTTGCTTTAAAACCTTTCAAAACAAAGAATCTAATTACAGCGCGATATTAATTTTTTTCCATATTAAAAAAATACTCTGGCACGTCAACTTTTAATGGCTTGTAAGCAAAGAATTAATTAACAGAATGACTTGTAACTTTGCATGCGTTCTCACGAAAGAAAAACACAACTTGAGAAAAAAAATTTGGAGCCAGTATTGCTAATTCTTAGTGAGAGCAGAAAGGTTCAACCAACCTGTACTGTATTAATTAATATTGATACAAATGAAAAAAGACTAGTTTCTATCTCTTATCTAATATTGTATTACTTTCAATTTGTTCCTCCACAAATTTTCTTAGAAAATTTCTTTTGATTCCCTCACATTTCTGAATCTACATTAACTTCATTAGTTGTAGGCCACCGTCCTTATTATTTTTCACATACTTGTATATATTCACGGTATTTGTTATTGAATTTTTATTATAAATAAATTATTAGGCTTTTATGTAAATACTTTTACTTACATTATGCTTGTGTAAGTTGTGTAAATACAGTGTACTTAGGGACATATCTGCAACTGTAATATCAATTGGGTTCGATATTTTTGAGTCGATTCCATATAGACTGAAATAAAAAGAAGCCAATAAAATTAGATATAAAATCCTATAGTTGACACAATTATGGAGTAAAAATTACTTTACTACACTTACTTATATAAAAGTGCTTCTGACGGCCCTTGCAGTCGTCCTTCGACTTTGCTAATACGCAATTTGCGCATATTTTCCAACGAATTATCGCAAGAAGTTTGTAACCTTAACATATTTCCCTCTTGCTCACCAAAGCTTTGTTGAAGCATTTGTTCAAAACCACTAGTTTGAGGAATATTCGGAGTGAGATGACATTTTCTGTCATAGTATTTATTTTGAATTATAGACTGTTTAATTGACGATGTTAATAATTCAGCCCTTTGAACATTATGTGCATTAAACACAGATGTAGCCAAAGAAGAATACTAAAAATGTAAAACATATATATATATATATATTTTTTTATAGAATATAAGTATGTATTAAATTATAGTGCATAACAATTATAATATTGTTACAATACCTCAGCATCGATTGTTCCAAATGAAATTAAACTTTCAGTTATAGGACTTGGTTTGTTATCCGTATCGTTTATCATTTCGTTTTTTAGTTCCTCTGCAGCATGTTCTCTAATATCGTTCAAAAAATTTACAGCATTTGGTGGGACTTTCCATTCTGGGTTGGTTAATGTAAATCGGATTAATGAAAGTTCCGTTTTACCGTTGTCGACTACGCTCTTTGTCGTACTATCATCAACGTTTCCTTTTGGTTTTGTATTAGGCTTAGGAAGTTGCCAATCAGGATTGCCATGTTTTCTAACATCCATTTGAGCGAATGAGCATACATTTCCAACACCCTTTACACTTACTGTAAAACTTCTAAAGAATTTTACCAGTTCCAGAGATTTTGGGCGGAATACAAACATTAATATAAATGGAGTAACAAGCGGACTAACAATTTCATTTAACAAGTAACCCTACAATCATAAATATTGAAAATAAAGTATGTACAATTATCTTTAATAATATTTAAGCTTTAATTAAAAAACTTACCGCTTTAAACTGAAACAAATTTTCAAATTCTTTTCTTACAGCCACTGTATGCGCCCTATTCTTCCAATTAGATGGTAGATAATGCACATGCGCTAATATTGCGGTCATCAATTGTTCTGGGCACCATATTAAATTTTCGTCAGGAATCATAGTTCTGAATTTAAAAGGTATATTTTATAGATAATATAAATTTCAGTGCTAAGATAATTTGTGATTTTATTAAAATAGTTCTTGCTTGTCCAGTAGATACATGTTTTTTATTCTACCATCTTTCACCTGTTTTTAACGGTTGTATAAATTATTGGTCGGAATTAAATATATATAAATTATCAGGATAACTGAAAGAGTTGAATACGGGTGAATACGCTCCCTAGCTCCCATATATCTTATATAAGGATTTTCAAATATCCGGTTGACTTTATACCATTATATGTGAGTTATTTTGCTAATCGTAACGCCAAATTTGGCATTAATAAAACTCAGAGAGTATCGTTTTTGGTAATGATATGTCATAATGCCACAATTAGAAAAAATCGGGTAACACTACCCGTAGCCCCCATTTTCTCAATATAAGAATTTCAATATATCGGTCAATATCTAAGATGCCTTAGGAATAATAAGTGAACATATAACCTGGATATACCATATCTTAGTTTAATGCCAAAAATTTTCGATGAAGTTAAACTCACTTACCGACTCGATAGAATATATTCCGTGGCTAATAGATGGTGCTAATTTCGAAATCATTGAACCCGCAAAATTGAGAATATGTGTCGAAATCTATCCGTCCATGCGTAAGTTGTGGAAATTTAACAAAATATGCCATTTGTAAATATTTATGTGAAAAATTTGCTAAGGACGCACTAAATTATTTATGTTAAAATGTACTTAAGTATCCTGTAAATAATTATTCAAAAATAGCTGGAGGAAAATGTGTTGAAAGTTAAAAAAAAAACTAAACAGGCTTATGAAAATTTTTGACTAAACTTTCTTTACGTATCGCTGTCAATAAAAGAGTTTACTTCTGATAAAGAAGGTTATCGACTTTATGAATGATCGCATGAAAATTTGCGATCGAAAATTCTTTCCGTATCGAATTTTATTTCTACGCGGAATGAACGATTAGACCCACTATATATAAAGATTTTGTTTATTTTAGCAGACTCTATACCGAATATAAAAGTTTATGTGTGAGTTATCTTCCTAAAATAAAAACATGTTACCGAATTCACCTAAGTTATGGTCAAAAATTAATGCGATTAGTCCAGATTTTCCTCTAGCCCCAATGTACGTGATATAGTGATTTCCATCTGACTTTAAAGCGTTTATTTCGCTCGATATGAGGAATATTTTAATAAAATTATGTAGAAAACTTTTCTAAAAAATTATATAGTTTGATGCTGAATATGACTGAAATTGGTTTTGTGCTTGGTCAATAATATAAATTTATAAGATACCAAATTTGATTGTAATCCATTCGGTTTCTTAAAAAAGTGCGTTCTGAATTTCTTACGCAACATTTTTTAATAAAAAGTGAAGTATTTTCCCGCCTTTGACCTTTGCAAATAGCGAGAGTATTAAATGTTCGGTTACACCCGAAGTTAGTCTTCCTTACTTGTTTTAAATACATTTATAATTTTATAGAAATCTTGCTGTGATTATATCACAAGGAGAATGGAATATAAAAAAAGTTTGAAACTTGAAACATGTGATAAAAAATTAAATAAAATATATGATTACTTCTTACTAATCATGCTTCAATGGACAGACTTTATTGTTGTTTCATTGCTGCACTTACAGTTTTTTTAAATAATAATATTTTAAGTCTGCAATTGTAAATTAGTTTGGAGGTTCGAAATTTAATATATATATACTTTGAATAATTTCTTGCATAATAGATGAATTAAATTTACCTGCATATTAATCCAATAACAGAGAGAATAGTGATAATCGTTAATACGTGTTCCACTTGGAAAACAAATTCGTCATATATACCCAATGTTAAAATTAATACCAATATTCCTCCGGATATAAATAGTATATTCCTGAAATGTGTTTATTTAATATTACATTACTATTATTATTTTTATGCATAAACCGACCTTGCAACAACTGCCATTAACGGTGAAGAGAACGAGCTTAGATACCTATCTGCATATTCATATGCACGATTTAAACGTGCATCTAATTCATGTTCTAATTCATTAAAGTGTCGTAAGTATAAACGACCATAATTGGACCATGTTCTCATCCCTAATGTTCCTGGCTCTTTTCTTAAAATCTGTAAGAAAATTAGCATATGCATGTGTATATACACATTAAAAAATTTATTTTAAATATTCAGCAATAATTGTCAACATTGTATTTTTAACATACACAAAGTTTCTAATTAATTAATTATAAGTAATTATTTACAATTAAGTCCTAAGAGAGTAATTAACTATCTTTAAAAACGAAAATCTAAGTTAAATAATTCAATAACGAATTATTATTTTTTTGTAACTAGTTAATATAATATATAAAAGCTATATGTTGTGCTGGTTATACTGGTTTATTGAGATTTAGCTTCGGTCTTATTGTAGCACAGTAATTTGAGATATAAGAATAACGATAAAACGTCATTATGCAAACTCAGCGTGATTGCAAAATTCATACAAAATACAAGTACAGCGATTGCACAACTTCATGCACGCGTCGAATTGTCAATAAAGTATGCACCAATTTGTCCCCATAACTACCCAGGGTAATCGTAAGAATAAGTAGTCGGTTGCTATTTGGTTTTAATAAAGAAAGGTTGTAAAAACCTTGAATCAAGCAGCTTCCGGTCCGCGGAGTGAAAGTGAAGTCACGGTCAATTTTTATTTATTATTCTGTTAAACTCCATTTTTGCCATCGGTGACCTTCAGTTTCGTAGGCAAAGCCGCAGGACAACCCAGGAAAAGGTACGCATCGCAAGATCTTCAGTAGTTGAAACTAGGATACAAACGGGATGAAATCCGAACCTCGTGGGAAGGAGGCACATCAACTTGTAAGAACATTATAATAATAATTACATTGTTAACTTTGCAAAAGAATTTTAAACTTTGAGCTCCATCATTTGTTTGTAATCCTATATTATTTAACCCTTAATCTAATTGAAAAACTCGTGTTTACTTTATGGCAAATCTGAACAATTTAATCAAGCGATCCATACTTAGTGAACAAGCATAAGCAAGAAGAAGTGCGGTCGATTTGCTATTGCAGCCGCTATTAGCGAAATAATAGCGGAACAGTTGACAGCATTATTAAGGCGTCAAATTTCACCGGAAGAATTCGCCAATGTAGCCGATCAAGTGATCGCCCCAAAACATGCCAGGAATTTATAGTACCAGTCGTAATAAAGACAATACGTGAATTTTTTGGTAACCCATCAGATGTTAGCTCATTGAAACAGTGAGTAGGTCGTATCAAGGAAGCGTATAGCGGTTATCAATGTACATTAAAGTACAATAGTATGTCACTTTGCATAATATACGGAATATAATATGACATGCCGATATGGCATTGGAATCCTATAATACCACTCATATTTGGTCAGCTATTTCCTAGTGTTTGACACTTCATTCCGCGGACAAATGTGTCATTAACCCGCTTGAGTACCAAATGACCATGTTAGTCCAAACTTTGAGTCAATTAGTAAAAGAATTCCATAAGACAGTTTATAAACATTTATCACTTATTTAAAAAAAAATTTATTTTGAACAAAATTGATTGTATGAAACTACGCACAGAAGCGGAACAATTAATGACAAAAAATAAGAGAAAGCTCTTGATACTTTTGTGCGAGAATTACGAGGTAATATATTCGCCTATAGGTATCAAAGAACCAGCAGATTTACCTTCAGCACTGCATTTGGGTTTAAAATTATAATATCAAACTTTTCATGCTAACCACGCTACAAACATAGGCCAAACAGGTAACTTGAGAAATCAAAATTCCAAACCAATACTTGCGGCACACAACATGCAATTAATAAAAATACAATCACCCCTCAAGAATTTACCACTACCAACAATACGGAGAACAACCACCAATCACACAACCAGAACAGAACTTTCACAATTTCAGTTAGCTACTGCTGCACCTCGACAACGATTCCTAAATAGGCAGTTCCAGCCTATCGCACCACCTAGGCCTACGGCACAAAAAGCCACTGCCCCGTCCAGAACAAATGGACCTAGACCCTAGTGTACAAACAAAAACGGGAAACTATATCAACCGATCTCGCTTCAAAGTTGGAAAAAAAATCTCTGAGTCCAATCTCAGATGGACATAAACGACAAAGAAATTTCAACATACAAACTTCCAATAATGAAAACAAAATACAATCCGCTGAAACAAATGCCACAATGACAGAATATGAACAAGCAATCACATACTATGAAAAATATTTATAATAATCTCGAAAGAATCTAGACAAATATATATAACACATAGACGAAATCGATTCCGGCAACAATACTTATGAATACACAATAATGCCTCTCTAAATTTTATACAGGAATATGATTATGAAGTAGTTTATGAACCGGCGAAATATAATGTAGTAGCCAGAATGCCAACAGCACAGCACTGAAAATTCTAATCACAATTTGATATGAAGGCCCAATAAACGTATGTAAGAACCAAATAATATTTTACCAGATAACCTAATCCGACTACAAAATTTAACCACTTACCATAGACATGAAATATACCGACAAGTATTAGTATAGTACCGTAAGGCGTTGCGAAGTGCAATCAGTACTCTGTAACACCTTCGCATTGTAAACAGTGTTGTACTGGTATTAACGGCCGAAAGGAAGAAAAATCAAATCAAAATCAACAATAAAGAAGACGAATAAACAGACGTACATTATTCAAATTGTGTAGGGGTTTAAATTAGTTGCGAAAGTTTTAAATATAGAAAGTGTATATGGATTACAAATAATGTGGGTTATAGTAAATGAAAATATAGTTACACATTGGATATTAAAATCAATAACTATCAGATTTCAATGTCATTGAAATAAATCTGCATTATTACAACATATAAAAAATATAATTAAAATTAAATATGTTATTGGTCGCATCGTTAAATTTCTGACATTTGCCGTTTTAGATATAATTTTGCAAATTTTAATTTCGTTTTTTTAAAATCTATCCTTTATTTGTGTTCTAATTTTTCAATAGCTAAGTTATATTTCCTTTTGCACAATTAGCATGCGCTAACAGCAATTTCCAATGCCCTTATCTCCTTACCTAGTAGCATCTGGTACTGACAAAAATAAACAAATTTTTTAAATTGGCTCAAGGCCGAATCATTGAATCCAAAGCAACAGAAGATATGGAAACCCTTTGCGAGATATCATATTTTATTTCGGAGTCCCGAAGCATATTGTTATGCGCAACGAAAAATCTTTTAGTTCTCAATTCATCAAAATTCATGTTAGAGCAACTATGTATAGAAACTTACACTGCAACACCATACAAAAGCACAGTTAACCACTCATCGAAATTTCGATACGAATAAAATTACTAATTTCATTCGTTCACAAAGAAGCGACCTTTAGAAGTCTTTTATGGCAGGTATGTAACATCGGACCGAGAAAAAACTAAACTATTATACACAACAAAACTACACTTTTATACATTATAAAATACCGAATATAGAAGATACAGAAAACCAGTTTATACTTGTAAAACCCATAGTCAAAAATAAAACGATTGTACACTTAAACTCAAATAAAATGGTGATTTGTACACAAAAACCTCGCATATGAAATTCCAGAAAATTGTAAAACATTAGTAAATATAAAAGTATGAGATAAGAATAAAATTGTTAACATAAGCAATACAGACTGCATTCCTAAGCTAGTTAAGGGAGAAACTGCGCTGCGTTGTTAAAGCAATGCTGACTACGTAACAAAGGGGAAGGGAATCGAAGATGCGATCATTTTACTAAAAAACTACAAAGGCAAGGATGAACAGCTTCCTCCTAATAACATTCTTCGGCATTGCTTTTACTCTTATTTTGGGGCTGCACACATACAGTCATAAGCAGAAGAGTATAACATTGCAACTAGGGCCTACATCGGGCAGGGAAACAAAAGTCACCACAGTCGTCGCACCAACAAAATACGAACGATCACCAGCGGAAGTGCAAGGCCCACTACCTCAGTTCAACAACACTCCCTACTTCTATCTAAAAACTGCTCTCAAGCATAAATTAGAGGGCGAAGAGTTTACAACAATTATATTGACAAATTTGCTTGTAACAATTACGATAATATTGTCAATATACAAACTCAGCGTGTCTGCCAAATTCATAAAAAATGCAATTACAGCGATTGCACAATTTCCTGCACGCGCCAAATTGCCAATACGGTATGCACCAATTTGTCTGCATAACTACTCAGCTATATAGGATAGTCGTAAGAATAAGTTGTCAGTTGGTATGAAGTTTTAATAAAGAAAGGTTGCAAAGAAATTTAAAAGACGCTACGTTGTCGTTTTTAGTTTAGTTGCTTATCGAAAATTATTGTGTGGTTATAAATCCATCATTTCTTACATGGAATAGTAATAGTCGTTAAGCAAAAATTCCATCAACAGGCTGTTATTTCGGCGAACTAGCTCTGTTTGGATCGGTAAGTAGTAAGTTGTAGTAAGTCGTTAATTCGATAATCTAAGGTATGTTTGCATGTATAATACTTACATTAGCGTATGAGAATAGGAAATATAGGCACTGCCACACAAAAATAACTGGAGCCAATATTAAATTAGCAACTGCAACCCACATAATAAGTTTTGACAATCGTTGAGCTAATTCGACCTGATTAGTACGAAAGTTGAAGTCATCTCGGAGTTGCCAATTATTTTGAAATGGTGAACCAGGCCCTCCTATAAATAGAAATTATTTAATTTAACTAAGAGATATTTCCTCATATTTTTAAATTTAGTGTGCAGAAAAATTTATTTCATATTTATAAGAATATGGGTCTACAACTATATATGTGCAGTTTTTTTTATTTGAACATTTACAATAGTATTATTTACAGTATTATCCATCTGAAGCTAAAAAATTTTCCCATCTTCCTGGAAATTTCAGGATTCCATCCCAGAAGAATCAAGCTACAAAAATGAATCAAGCCAATTTTTTGATACTCTGTTCTGATGCGAATCGTATTTCAGTGAGGGCGTTCTGCATTGGCCGGAATAAATGGTAGTCAGAATGGGAAAGGTCTGGGCTATAAGGTGGGAGAGTCAAAACTTCCCAGCCGCCAGTTTGGAATGGCTGCTAGAGTGAGTATTTTGAGAGCTCTTCTCGTGTTTTACAACCATCTTCATTGAGTAATGCTTCCAGTTCCTCATCTTCAAACTTTTTTGGCTGTCCAAAAAGTTCTTCGTCTTCAAAGCCAAAATCACCACTATTCAATCGCATGGTCAGTAGCTATTCAATGGAATAATAATCGAGTTACGCCATCTCTTGGAAAACCGGATAAATACAGTTATAGACCCAATACATAAATTATTTTTGTTTAACTTACTAAATAGTATAAAATGTATATTATACAAAAGTCCACGGCTCAACGTCACACATTCTCCAAGCAGTGGTATATTAAATTTTACAGGTAGAAGGTTTTTGTTCATAAGAGCTACCATATAGTTTTTAAATCTGCAATAGAAAAAATAATACGATATTAATTGATATATATTGATTTAGACGAGTTTGCAGGTTTACTTATTCTTTACAAATGCCATTATAAAAATGTTAGCAATTCTACCAAACATACTCAGGGGTGTTGTGAAATCTGATAGTTGTTGGAACCAGAATTGAAACCGATAAAAAAAATGTAGAAGGTGTCATGAATTCAGATATTATTGGTTTGACGTTCGAAACAGAAATTGTATCGGTTTTGGGTGTCACGGAAACCAATTTTATCGGTTTTGTTATCAGAAACAAAGCAAGAAATTTTCGCTGACAGCATTCAAATGTAAGTTTAGAAAATATCTTATATTATTGTTACGATTTAATTTATCGTTATTTCTATAGGGGGAAACATAAGGATAAAACAAAAAATGTCACAATTATCGAGTTTATGGAAAAATGCAAGATATTTTAGGAGAATTTACAAAACGTAACAAACATAATTTAACACCCAAATGCGTCTTTTTTCAGTCGATAATGTGATAATGCAAGTAAATGCAGGCCAAATTTCACATGTGACTCCCATGGTGCATCAAGTGGATTACTGTGATCTTTTAATATATTCCTTTTATTTTTTTCGTTGCTTTTTTACTTCAAATAAAATAAAAGCTAAAATGGCGGAACTCATTGTAAACTTTAGTAGACTTCATTCACCATTTTAAATTTATAAAACGCTTCCTAATTTATTCATTTGCAAATTTTGTCACATTAGTAAACAGCTGATTCGAATATTGGTTTTGCATATGTTCGAAAAGACGCAAATCCAATCAGATTCTGTGACACCATTTAAAAACAGAATTGGTTTGCAATTCTGACAGCTAAGCAAATCCGTCTTAATTTCACCTTGCTCCGTCTTGAACACCCCTGACTATCTTTCATATAACCTTTTATTTGTTCAGCTTTTGTAAAAATGTCGACATTTGGCCATTATAACTGATAAATAAATAAATTATTTGAGAATTTTAATTTACGTTAATATTTTTCCTTTCACAAAAAGTAAACATTTTAATTTTATTTCATCGGAGAAAAATCTAAATTTTAAATTCATTATGATTATTAGCCGATTTTTTATAAAAATGTGTCCTCAGTTTCAAATCATTTTCCCCATTTATTCGATAATCAAGAAAAAATGTAAATCCAATGTAAAAGAAATTATATATGTATATCAATTGTTTCCGGATTTTCAGTAAATTTATTGTTGTACTATACGTAGATACATTTTTGTCACACAGTATTAAAGAATAAACTAAAGTGTAAATATTTTATCTTAACCATTTTAATAACATTTTTTGGGTTGAAATTTAATAAGGCTGCAGTTCGGAAAAAATGTGTAGTTTTTCAAACTACTTCAGCTTAAGAGACCAGATATAAAATTGCAAAATGTTGAACATTTTATTTTATCGCAATATGTAATTTAACTTATAAACTATGTGACCTTAGCTTCTTTTAAATTTATTAATTAATTTTTTTTTTATTTCCTAAAAATTTATATAAAAGTCAACCTAACTAACAATAAGTACGGAAGGGCTAAATTCGGATGAAACCGAAAATTTTATACTGTCGCAATTTTCAATTTAAGAAACCTGACAGATTGACGAATATATAAGTTATAAAGTCAAGCGGATCAAGACACTGTTATTAAAGAGATGTTTTTTCTAAATTTTGTTAAGATTGCTTACATATTGACCAATAGATGCGGTATACAGTCAATCGAAAGTTCGAAAATATTAATGCTTGGTATATGGGGCCTAAATGACCCAATTTTACCCATTTTTGGCAAAAATATTCTCCTCAAATTTCATAACTAGATTACAGAGATTGAACGACATGTTCGGTAAAAAATCAGCCATATGAACTGAACTGAGGTCCACATATTTGGTGTGTGAGTCCTTGAAAAATTATAGTCCGATTTCGACAATTTTTGGGGGTTTGGGCCTTTGATGGCACTGTTTGGGCCAAGTTTTATTCTGATAAATTAATTGATGTTTGACTTGTATACTTCTTCTGTATATCTTCTTCAGTGTATTTTAAGAATATTTGGGTAACCTTATGCAATAAATTTGCTTGGTTGGTCAAGTAGTTCCTGAGATATAAGAATTCACCTGAACGAGGTCATTGTCCAATTTTTATACCTGCTCCTATAGAGCCCTTTCATACCATCTTGATTGTACAATTTTATGCTTGTGGCGCATTTATTAAGTGAGTTACCACACGTTTAGTAGTTTTTAATATAACAGGTTGTTGTTGTAGCGGCAGAAATCTGCCGAGTGGACAGTCCTTGGCCGGATAAAATCAGGGTCCGTTCCGGTTACGAAGACCCGACTATCGTGGAAACGGCTCACAGGTGTACTACGCTATTGGGATCCCTTGTACGAAATTAAAGATTTGTATTTGAATTTAGTGCTAAGTTATGGCACTGTATATGTTTTCGCTTAACGGCACTTTGTGGACGTTTGCAATACTAACCCTCCTGTGTACCAATGTACCAAGTTTCATTATAATATTTTAATTTTTACTCATGTTATCGCTTGCACAGACGGACAGACAGACAGTCACTCGGATATCAACTCATCTAATCATCCTGATAATTTATATGTGGTATACATAACAATATATCTATATGGATAAATTTATGCAACATACGAGGGCTGCTATATAGCTGGCGGGCCTAGGCAACACTAAGTGTTGCCAGGTGCAATCTGACATTTCCATTGGAAAGTTTGACATTTTTTAGCAACATTTTCGTGCGATCATTTTTCACAACTTTCGACGTGGATTATCACGACAAGAGTGCATCGATGAACTAAAATCTTTGTATGGCTATGAAGCACCATCCTTGACGTAAGTGAACTGATAATGCAAGACCGTCATGTAACATACCTTCAGATAGAGGCATGCCTATGCATTTCTCCCACCAGCACACATTCGATATTCATGAACACCTGGCCGTAAAAAAGGTTTGTTCTTCTTGGATCCCGATCGCTCAAAAAAAGGCTCGTGTGGATTGGTGTAAAGAAATGCTGAAAAAATACGATCGCGGTGATTCAAAAGACGTTTATAAGATCGTCACAGGTGACGAATCATGGATCTATGCGTATGAGCCCGAAACAAAACAGCAATCGACCGAAAAAAAAGCATTTTCGTTGATAGATATTCGTATTTTCATTATTAGACCAGAAATATATATAGCAGCCCTCGTATTAGGGGTTTCACAAATTTTTTGGTATTAGAAACTGGACCATTCTCAATTTGTGTTCTATTCTGCATGAAAAGAGCTTCTCAAAGAAGTATAGTCATCCTTTGGTTCCTGGGTGTGTCATGTGATGTATGAGTAAATTTTACAAAAAAAAAAAACATACCTTAAAATTCGGTGGTATATATCCAATTCCGTCAATTGCTCTTTATCAATACACATATGCTGTTCAGATTGGACTTCTCTTATCTTCATTTTTACTTCATGCCACGTAGTGTTATCTATTTCTTTCTGTACAAATATAATTTTTGTAGCATGAAATATAACGTTATTGTACATATAATTACATTTCTATCATAGGCTAAACGTTATTATATATTATTTACCACAAAAAATAAAAAATTAGAATATAAACTATGTGCAATTTTAAATTACATAAACATTAGAACTAACGTATCTGTATTCAAATATTACTATTCACATACTTCGTCAATGTGGAGAGCTGTTTGATAGAATTTTTTCATATCCAAATATTGAGTTATTAAATAAACAACTCGCAAAAAACGAACAACGAAATAAAGTATTGCTAGAAGGAATAACAAATATGTAAAACCATTAAAGTTGGCTATGCATTGCCTTGTTGGAATAACAACGTCTCGTAAAGTAACTTTGGTATGGTTACTCGGTGGTGGAAAGTCTCTGAAAAAAAAATATAGTAAATATTTAATATTTAAGTTTTACAGAGGTTTATATTTTAGAAATAATTTACAGAACATTCGCAATCTTATGAGTCACTGTTAATATTTTTATACTCTCGCAACCTGTCTGTCCGTACGTCCGTCTGTGTAAGCTGTAACTTGGGTAAAAATTGAGATATTTTTATGAAACTTGGTACACATGTTTCTTGGTAGCGTAAGACGATTGGTATTGCAGATGGGCGTAATCGGACCACTGCCACGCCCACAAAACGCCATTAATCAAAAACAAATAACTTGCCATAACTAAGCTCCGCAATAAGATACAAGACTGTTATTTGGTACACAGGATCACATTAGAGATGGGCATCTGCAGTTAAAACTTTTTTTTAAAAGTGGGCGTGGTCCCGCCTCTAATAGGTTTAATGTGCATATCTCCTAAACCGCTAATGCTATAATAACAAAATTCACTAGAAGCAAATGTTTTTAGCACTTCTATTGACGGTGTGAAAATAGTTGAAATCGGGTGGCAACTCCGCCCACTCCCCATATAACGGTACTGTTAAAAACTACTACAAGCGCGATAAATCAAGCACTAAACGCGACAGAGACATTAAATTTTATCTCTGGGATGGTATGAGATGACTTTATAGGAACCGCGTTCAAAATTAAGACAGTGAACGTGGCACTGCCCACTTTTCGATGAAAACCCATATCTTGGGATCTGCTTGACTGATTTCAACCAAATTCGGTACATAACATTTTTTTCATATTTCTATGCTATAGTGCGAAAATTAGTGATCGGATTACAACCACGCCTATTTCTCATCTCTCTATTATATATAAAAGTTTTCTGCTGCTGTCGAGAATCAACTAACATAAGAGCGAGCTAGCTCGCGCTCGGCGGGGGGCGGACGTAGGCGAGCAAGCGAAGCGAGAGTCCCGGAGCGCAGCGGAGGTCGCCTAGTATGACAATATTTTAAATTCCATTTGATTCTTTCACTTTCTACTATGCAAATCAAGCAACAATGACTGTATCGGGGTAAAACTTTGCGTTTAAAGTGTGCCACCTTGTGACTAAAAATTCTCTGAATCGATTTAAAACTGTTCAAGCCCCTATTGAATATGTGGACCCCGATTCTCAATTTTTACTCAAGTTAGAGCTTGTACGGACGGACGGACGGATGGACGGACAGACAGTCACCCGTATTTCAACTCGTCCCTTCATCCTGATCATTTATATATACATAACCCTATATCTAACTCGATTAGTTTTAGGTGATACAAACAACCGTTAAGTGAACAAAACTATTATACTCTGTAGCAACAGATTGCGAGAGTATAAAAATAGTGTTTATTTCCTATCATTTACAATGCTTTTAAATTAATATTATACCGGTTTCGTCGCAGCTTCGTCCTGTGTATGTTTTAAATATTATTTAATAAAAGATCGGACGCAGCCGAACATTAGGTACCCCTGCAACATAACGGGTTTTTTTTCGAGGTATAGAACTTGAAGTTGGCATTACTGTTCAAGATGGCGACCGAACAGCTGTCAAGTGATTTATTCTCAGTTTGGTTTGGCAATTCATCATGAATAGACTCACACCTGAACAACGCTTGCAAATAGTGCAATTTTATTTCGAAAATAATGGTTTTGAGCGGAATGCGTATCGCGCACTACGTTCATTTTATCGTCTATAATTTTTTTTAGCAATGAAGCGCACTTCTGGTTGAATGGCTACGTCAACAAACAAAACTGCCGCATTTGGAGTGAAGCTAATCCTCAAATGTATGTCGAAACACCGTTACATCCAGAAAATCTGACTGTTTGGTGCGCTTTATGGGCTGGGCGAATCATTGGTCCGTACTTTTTTAAAAACAATGATGGCCAATGAATGGAATTACTAACTTTTTCATTCCTGAATTGAACAACCATGGTGTTCAGGAGCTGTGGTTCCAACAAGACAGCGTAACTTGTCATACAGCTCGTGCCACAATCGATTTATTGAAAGACAGGTTTGGTGACCGCCTAATTTCACGTTTTGGACCTGTGAATTGGCCTCCAAGATCTTGTGATTTAACACCACTGGACTACTTTCTGTGGGGTTATGTAAAATCATTGGTCTATGCGCATAAGCCACAAACGCTTAACCATTTGGAAGGCAATATTCGCCGTGTTATTGCCGATATACGGCCACAAATGTTGGAAAGTCATCGAAAATTGCACGTGCAGATTGGACTACATCTGGCGGTCATATGCCAGAAATCATATTTAAAATGTAATGCCACAAGATTATCTTTCGGATAAATATAACCCATGTCAATCGAATAATCCATCGTTGTTTTTTGCAATTTAAAGTTCTATACCTCTAAAAATAGACTCGTTATATGAATTAAAGGGCTGTAAAAAATTTCGAGCGCATGAAGTAAATTGTCGTTATTGGACAATTTTTTTTTATAACGAGTAAGTTAGTAACTTTTATAAAGTCAACTATTTTGATGGAAATCCTTATAATAGGTATCCGGGGGCTGTGAGAAAGTCTAGATAGATTTCACCCATTTTTCATACTCAAAGAAATCTGAAGAACAAAGTAAATTTGATATCCGGTAATCTTTATGATTAAATTTGATTTAAAAAAATTGTATCAATAAATATTATAGGCAATTCGGCGTAAATAGTATAGGCGCTGCCCCGATGTTAAGTTTTCTAACAAATCCATAGCAAAAAAAAATCTGATATATTATCCTAGTAAAATAGTGGCAATGTTTCGATTCCACTCCAACAAAAAATCTCAGACTGGCAAGAAATACATATATCGTCAACTAAAATGAAAAATAACATAACATCTCTTTATAACTTTGAAAGAGAAGGAAAACCATATAAAATAGAAACTACCACAAAATTGGATATAACTTGGTTACATCTGTTAGCAAAAGCTTAAGGGTTTGGGGGACGCCAGAATTTTAAAAAGAATCAATTTTGTTTTGCATTTTCGTTAATTGAATTATCTTAAAAATATTTTCTGAAAATTTTAAGTTGATCCGATAATTACTTTTTCAGTTATTCGACAAACAACAAAGCGCTCGGGAGCAGGTAGGTGAAACTTTAAATGCGTTTTTCTCAAAACTATGTTTTTTGAACTAGTGACAAATGTAACTTGAAAACCGCTTAGTAGATGTTAATGAAATTTATATAGGTTTTAGAATACATAATAAACTCGGGTCTGATCGAAATATTTTTTTTCAAAAATTTCGATTTTTTAAGTTTTTAACTTGAATAAAATCAAGAAAAAAATTTCCTGAGGCCATTATTTTGTTAATTTTTGAAAAAACAAAAAAAGCTTCGATCAGGCCCAGGATTATCTATTTATAAAACTATTTTTTTTTATCCGATTGATTTTAGATGAATCTCAAGGACTTCGGATTATAACCGCAAGGACCTTTTTTTTGGAACTGGATCAACACAGACAGCTATAACTTTGGAAATTAAAATTTTTTTTTTTTGAAATTTTCGTGACTTCAAATCAAAACATTGTATAACAATGCCATATTACTACTTTTGTAAAATAACATGATTTAATAGCAAAAAAAATTGCTGAAAATTCTAATTTTTTCGTGCCTCTGACTACCCCTAACCCCTTAAACATGTACTGTTATATAATATGACGTGGTGAATCTGAAACAATATTAAATTCAATTTAAATATTTTTATGAGTCGTTGTTTTGCAATTTAGGCGACGGCATATATGTTCCAAGTCACCAAGATATTGCAATTTAAATTCCATTTTTTGCTTGGACGTATTGTTGGACGGACATACTAATCAAATACTCAATTTTTCGACTCCTGGTCATTTATGCCTGTAACACGTGGGCTGAAAATGATAGGGCCTAACAAAGATAACATGGTTTTTTGATCAAATTAGCTTTATCAATAAATATAATCTCTCCCCTCAGTTCCCTCAGTTTCAGTGATAACCTCTTCATTCGAGCGAATTTTCTTACCGGCAAGCATTTTTTTGAGGTCTGCGAAAAACTAATAGTCGCTAGGAGCAAAAAAAAATCCGGTTTGTTACGTTTAAAATGACCAAACACTGCTCAGAATCATTACAATGTTACAGTTATTGGTCAACAGTCAGCAAACGCAGCCAACACGTTCTTTTCAAATTCTTACGATGTGAGCTATATCACGCAAATTCACTTTCTGATCGTTCAGAACGATTTTGTGGATTTCTTTATGTTTACTGGTGTTATAGCCTCATTTGGACGTCGACTGTGCATCATTGGTGTCCCTTCGACCAGTTTTGAAATCAGCGTTTTATTGTAGTTTCTGTTGTTGCAGACATAACACTTTTCAAGCAATTGCTTCGCTTTACAGTATTTTTTCTCATCAAAAAGCAATGAAAAATTAAAACACTAAATTGTTTATCATCCATTGTTTTTAAAATAACAAAAGTAGTCCCTCTTAGAATAGTGAATAGAATGTCATTTTAACAGCTCTGAATTCAATAAAACTAGCGCCATCTATGTGTGAGGCCCGGTCATTTTCAGTTTTATATATATTACACACTAAGTATGCTAAGTAATTTCGTTTGATGACCACAGCTAATCTTATTGAATTTTTTCGCAGTTAACATTACATTTACTCGCTTTACCGTTATATATTTGAACAGCTGATACAGTTATGGTTGTTTGGTCGAAGATGGAAGCTTGAAAACAACATTTTCGGCATATTTTACTGTTTTACTATCAAAAGGGTAAAAATGCATTTTAAGCAAGACGAAAATTTTAATGTGTTAACCGAAGGTAAATGCTAAAATTGACTTTCGATCTTGAGGATGCACCACGTCCTAGAAGGCCTCTTGAAGCCGATGTGGTGGATGCAAATCGTCGAATAACAACTCAAGAGATTGCTGAAGGATTAAATTTGTCTAATTTCATAAAATTTTTAACACAATAAAAAAATCGTGTTTAAATTTCACTAAAAAACGAAATTACTTTGTGAACGACCCAATATATTATATATACCTTGTCGATTACTTTTGGATGTTCAAACATTTTTAAGTGAGCAAAACGGTTTTACTCTTTGCAACCTGATCCAGGAAAAATTTAAAGTAGCAATTAAATCGAAATTACCCAAATAATACTTGATAGTTGATACAGTATATTGTGAAAGTTAGTAACCACACCACGAAAGCAAACTTGCACAACTGAAAAATTTCATCTAAGGCTATGACTGAGAATCCATGCTTTTGATGGTAATTATACATGCGAGTAAAAAATGAATCCAAATCTTCAATGTGATTCCATCGAGCTGAAAATAAAAATAAATAAACGTTAGATTAAATGATTTTTTATTAGATGAGAATTTTTTTGGAATACAAAAACATTGATACACTTTCTTTATTTTCATTAGCTTTATTACTCTTTAAAGAATTAAATTAACTCTTAAAATTATACATAGAATAAGGCACGGTCCTACTGAGCGCCTGTTTCAGCTTTTTTCTTTTCTTTCAAATAAATGTATACTATTAAATGTTTGGAATGTAAATGATAGTAGGGATTCTAGGTGGGCTTCTCATTCTCTTAGCCAAAAAAATTAAACTGTTTCCTTAAAAAATACTGGTATATATACCAACTTCCATTGTTAACCTGGACAAACGGTCATCTAAGAGAACGGTCATGAGAAGAGTTTTCTGCTATTGCTTCCAGATAAAATCCTTAACTTACTTAGTGTATTAAGTAACATAAATATGTTAGTACAAAAATTAAAATTTGTTATTAGTTATATTCAAAATATATATTAATACGCAGATGTATGTATATATATACAAAAAAAAAGGTTTATTTATTTTCTACACTCTAGCAAGTCTGTACTGATATATAATATATATATTTTTATTCAATATTTATTTAAAAGTATTTAATTTTGCGGTGCTAGCTATATACAATTTAATTTTAGGTAACATGAATTAGTCAACTGCTATTGAAAAACTAATATTAGGTCTAGTAAAAATAAATACATGATTTTTCGAAAAGTAATCTGTATCTCGTTTGACGCAATATGGCGTTAGAAGGATAAGATTCTCAGACCGTTTTGTGATCGTGTGACTCAGTATTTTTTGATCAAGCGTCAAAGATGGACACTGGCGATAAAGGGGAAACACAAGCCAATAATTGTTTATTGCCTGTATGCTTTATCATAGAGGACTTTTTAATTTACCTTAAGCTCTAACCGGCTCGAAGGACCAAATGTTTAACTCAATACAATTATTACTAAACCTTACCGCAGGTGCGGGATTGAAAAGATGTGTGGTTGAATGAGAAATCTTGCATTCTGCCTTTATTTCAGTATTTTAATTGCTTATATACTATTTTTAGAAACTATCTTATCTACCTACATGTGCGTGGGTATGTTTTTCATAGATAATACTTGGTATGTTTTTTTTCTGTAATTTCTGAAACTAGGTAAATATGTTTTGTATTGTTAAGTGTTGAATGCATATGTATTCCATGCATATGTTTTATTTGTGTTTGTTTATGTTATATATTTTGTATTGTCTCAGCATTGTCGAGATAAACATGTTCAAGGATATTTGAACATTTTGCCGAGGACAAAGTAATTATTTTAAAGGAGCGGACTGAATGATAATTAGGGTTAACACTTAAACTAACATATATTACCTATGCTGCGGCGCACTACTAAATGATGTCTCTTGACACCAACTCACATGTTCATATTTGAACACTAACTGTCAATTTATTTCAAAAATAGTGGATTTATTTTACTAGACCTAATCATTGTGAGTCAAAATATTTCTATATTGTTTCTATTTTTTTCCAATTGGGATAAATATAACTATAAAAAAGCAGGAAAGGATTTAGTTCACCGAACATTTCATACTCTTGCAACTTGCAAGAATCAAAGCAGGGAAAAAGGTGTTGACACATTTTTTCTATGTTGGGAAAGAAAGCATTGTTCGACGAAATAGTGAATGGATTACAATCAAATTTGTATCTTATTAACTAATATAATAGATCATAGACTCAATTAGTTTTATAAGTATATTTTACTTGTCATCACCGAAAATTATATTAAAAAAATCGTCTTCAAATGTGATATATGTGATATAAACTGAATGAATTCTATTCATTAGACACATGAGGTTTTGACCAAGGTCTAGCCTTAGGTGACCGTATTTTCCCCGGCAAAATCCGGGACGGTTTTTTTAGTCATCGATTTTTTCCATATTATAATTCAATAAAAATTGCGACATAAATATAATAGGTGGGAGAGCAACACACTTTTATTCAATTAATTTTTTTTTTTTTTTTTAACCCCGAGACGCTTAACTCGGAATCCGGTCTGTCCCGGCCAAACCGGGACTAATGGTCAGCTAAGTCTAACCCAATTCCATTCATATTAAGCGTTTAACCACATAAATTTTAAGAGAGTTTGTCCGCTTAATTTTAGTAAAATGTCGCACATTTTGACCATCCTAAACGGTTTAAATCAGGTGAAAAGTCGGAAATTACTATATAGGGTTTATTGTGGGCTGATAAAGGTCTGGGATAATTGCAATAACTTTTAGCATTGTTAAGGTATACTTGTGATCACCTTTTCAAGCTATTTATAAATATATAATTCACACACTGACCGACCTATTCGGCTTATGGTTTGTTAGAATAACGAAAATCATTTTATGTAGTATATGGAAGTTGGGGTAATTCGTAGATCAGTTTTACATATTTTCGGTATTCAAATATAGAATATCCAATATTATACCCTCAGTTAATTTTGCTAAGATATCTTACATGTTTACTGATATATACGGTATAAAGGCAACGGAAAGTTTGTAAAACTTTTATTAGGTATATGGGAAATGAGGGTAGTATTGAATGAATTTATCTATGTATTTTAAACAATACCACATATTATTAAGATGCTTCCTAAGTTTTATTAAGGTACCTCACATACCATCACCAATATATATGGAGTAAAATCAGCTGGACGTTTCCAAATCCTGAAAATCAGTTACATGTGGGATAGGGCAGGTTTTCTCCCGAGTTAATCATTTTTGGGCCCAAAAATACATTGTTATTAGAAAACGGGCTCTATTAATTTCATTAAAATTACTCACATATTGTCCGATATACAAATGTGGTATAAAGTAAACTGGAAGTTCGAAAATTATTATATATATATATATATAGGTCAAGTAAAAAGTTTGTTCGGTTTTTATTTAAGAGATGGCGTTATTGTCCATAGTACTAGTGTTACGTGTCGCATCATGTCATACTATACGGCGCTGAAAACGTGTTTATTCGTGCCAAAAGTTTGTCTTTGACAGTTTTTCGATTGATTGACTCAGTACGTTGTGAGCGCTCGTCAAAGATGGACACCAGCAAAGAGAAAATTCGCTATATTTTAAAAATTTTCTTCGATCAAGGCGAAAAAGCAGCCAAAGTGGCTGAAAAAATTAATTTAGTTTATGGGCCCGATACTGTAAACGAAGTGTAGCACAAAAGTGGTTTGCTAGGTTCCGTTCCGGTAATTTCGATGTCAAAAATGCACCACGCGTCGGGAGGCCTGTCGTCGAAAATTGCGATAAAATCATGGAAATAGTGGAAAGAGACCGTGACGTGAGCACTTATTTAATTGCTGATTAACTAAAGATAAGCCAGAAAACCATTTGGAACCATTTGCATAACCTTGGGTTCAAAAAAAAGCTCGATGTTTGGGTGCCACACGAACTAACGCAAAAAAACAGGATGGACCGAATTTCCATCTGCGAATCGCTGTTGAATCGCAACAAAATCGACCCGTTTTTGAAGCGGATTGTGCCTGGCGATGAAAAATGGGTCACTTACGACAACATCGAGCGCAAACGGTCGTGGTCAAAGCACGGAGAAGCGGCCTAGACGGTGGCCAAGACCGGATTGATGGTCAGAAAGGTTTTGCTGTGTGTTTGGTGGGATTGGCAATCATCTACTACGAGCTGCTCCCCTATGGCCAAACGCTCAATTCGGCCCTCTACTGCCAACAACTGGACCGCTTGAAGGCAGCACTCATCCTTATAGTTCGGACCTGGCACCAAGTGATTACCATATTTTCCTGTCCATGGCGAACACTCTTAATGGTGAGAGGTTGGCCTCAAGAGAGGCCTGTAAAAATTAGCTCTCCGAGTTTTTTGCCAATAACAAAACGGAGCATATTTGACTTAAATCGGACAAATGTACACTAAGTTATCATCTTTAGAAAAATCAATAAAAAAAAACCTAAGCTAAGGGAAGTATTGATCCATTCAACGCATTTTTGACACAAGGGTTTATTATTATAAAAAAAAAACATTCTCCCCGAATTTCAATAATATATCTCACCGATATAAATACATTGGATGCACTATTTTTGCAAAGCTTTATCCCGATATATTCATATAACATTGATTTTTATACTGAAAAGTGAAAGAATCAGATAGAATTTAAAATTGGTTTATACGGGAAGTAGACGTGGTTGTAGTCGATTTCGCCCATTTTCGTATTGTCACATAGGGCTATCAGGAAAATGTTATGTACCGAATTTGGTTGAAATTGGTCGAATAGGTCCGGAGATATTTGATTTCACCAAAGGGTGGGCGGTGCCACGCCCATATCTTTGGCGTATTTAGTTACTGATTTATCGCACTTTTAGTGGTTTTTAATTCAACTGCTATATGGGGTATGGGCGAGTTGTTGATCTGATTTACATATTTTCACACTGTCGTAGGAGTTGTCGAAAATATTTATCCTGTACAAATTTGGGTGTCATAGCCATATCAATGGTTTGAGAGATACAGTGGCTCAAAGTGATGAAACAGTTAGAAAAGCTATATGTTAACATAAAATTTATTTATCATTTAAAAGTTAATTTTAAAATGTGGAATATGTGCTCATTAATAATCAACAAAAAAATTTTAAATATAAATTTCAGTTCAGAAAAAATTAGGATACATTTGAAAAACATCGAATTCAATAACAGAGTAATAATGGAACACAAAAAAGCAGAAAATATGTGTGAGATTTAAGCGAAAATGTTAAAAGAGCACCAACAACTGCTTTCAATAAATCAAAAGATATAAAAACAACGTTGGCTGAAATAATGAAAAACAGTCATAATAGTGCCTAAAAGTTAACATCCGCAGCTGAAAAGTATCTCGGAAAGAAGGCTCATGCAAAAACGATTTAAAACGAACTTAGAAAACAATAGTACAATGGTAGAGTGGAGTGGAAAAAATTATTAACGAGTAAGACCAAGACTAGAGCACATAAAAGAACATTTTTAGAATCGGGTTTTATATACAAACAAAAAGAAAATCCAACGTACGACAATCTTATGTATGGTACAAAGCTAATGAAGAGCTTAAATAATCGATCTTTCGCCCAACGATAAAGTATGGTTTGGGGCTGCGGTGATATGGGTTGCGATATTTGATGTTGGACCGGGAGTGAACGAAAGAAATATGGATAAAATTTATTATTTGAATTGAATTTTGTTTTTTGTTTTATGAAGTTTCTTCATAGCAGTTCTAGTTTTAGTGATACAGGTACTTCTTGAAATATCGTTACTCGGCTTACTTAAAATAATTTTGAGGAAAAAAAAGTACTACATTTCATTAATAACCCACTATTTCTACATTAAGAAGAGCTTGTTTAAATTAGCCGAATAGTTTTGTGCTGGTTTGGAAATTCGTTAATTTTAAGAAATTGTGACATTGAATGTCTTCCAAGAAGTTGTGATTTAGCTCCATTAGACTATTTCTTATATCCCATATCACTCTTATTGGAAACCCTTTTACAACTTAATTCCGAAAATAAGATGATACTACTAGGCAAAGGACAGCCATCGGCATTTTCTCTATTATTATTTACATACCTTCTCGAAGACGGTATATCGATATTACTAATTAACAAAGACATTAATTGATTATAATGACATTATGTATGTATGGTAATAAACATATTTTAGGTTTTTATCGATCGATACAAACTTCGAAATGCTGCTTCGAATGACACCCGGATTAATAAATTTAACGAAATTGTTTTTGTGAAATCTATTAACTTCGTCCTTTCATTTGCTGTATCAATTATTTCAATTCTATACAATATTTCAATATTATCGAAGAGATATCAATATATAATTACCGTTAACGTTTGTCCCAGTTTTTTAATTACTGCATACATATATTGTAGAGTGAAGGGTACAGATGAGATCAGAAGGAATCTCATCTAAAGGTGCGCGGTGCCATGCACATTGGCCAATATTTACACCAATTGCTGTGCAGCTCTATATAATTTAATGCCTCTTACTTTTTTTTTTTATGTTATCGTCCGCTTACCCCCAATCTCCTCAGATTGCCAAGAAACACATGTACCAAGCTTAAATCAAAATATCTCAATTTTTACTCAACGTGAAATTTTACTCTTAGTGAAAGTTAAATAATTCACGAAAAATAATAATACAATACTCATGAGAACCCGGAAGTCAAAAAAAGAAAAAATCTTAGGCGTAGAGGACAAAAAGTTCTAAACGCAAATGCAAAAAGTTGAAATTCGATCGGGTATAACCGAACATTTTATATTCTATTATTATACTTTCGCAACCTGCTGCTACAGAGTATAATAATTCGCACCGACACAAAATTCGTGTTTTCATAGACAAAAGAGGTTTTCACCCGAAAACTTGTGTTTTCTTCCATACAAGATCTGTCAAACGAAAACACAGTTTTCGCTAAAAATCTCTTGAAAACTTACATTCCACTCATTATAATCGGTGCCTGCTCTAGTTTAATCGATATTATTAGAAGACATATTTTGCCAGCCCTAAATGGCACTTGACAATTTGTTTACATTCCACTGTGTTCAAATGAAGAAAAAAATATATTGTATAAAAAACGAAATTCGTGGAGTGAGATGGGAGAAGCCTTACTAATTGAGTTGTGGGAAGCAAAAGTTGGTTCGCTTCGAGGCCCAAGAAAGAATAGCCACATATTAGAAGAAATGGCAGTGGAGCTGCAGCAGCAAGGTGTCACCTTCACGGCGGCAGAAGTCAAAACCAGTATTGAGTAAATATTAATGCGTTATATGTTATTATGTTTTATAATAAGAAGAAAACTTTGTTTAAAAAAAATGAGCGCAATACTGTCGCCATATAAAAGCTACAACACAGAGGGCTTAGTGGAGGAAAGCTTTCAAAGTAAGATACATGTGTTTTTTTATGGAATATATATATACATTATTAAAAAGGTTCTACGAACTCCGAACCGATGGAAATTTCGGTGGAAACGACTGCGTGTTCAACATTTGTTCCTCAATGTGGCATCCGTCTGTAAACAATTATTAAACCATTGGCGTAAATATATGATTTTATAACTAATATTTACCAATTGCTCCTAAGCATTGTGGGAATCCAAGTACCTCGAAAGCAGTAACCAATTCTGTTATGCTTTCTATATTTAGTGGCAGCATTTTGAAGCAGGATGGTTGCAGTAATCTCCAGATTTCGGTACAAAATTCCAGCAAAATTTCGCAAACCGTAAATTTACTTACAAACATATATAATATTGCTATAGCCACTCTTATCTCGAGCGGAATAACTTTTCTGTAGTTCGCATCCATTTTTTGTAGACGCCGGAGGATTTCGCATAATTTTTTAAATGAACCGCGGTTCATGCGAAAGTTTTCTTTAAAAAAAACGGATCCATTTCGTTGGCAATCGTGTTCCCAAAATTGATTTTTGCGTTGCTGAAATTATTGATATTTAATTGAAAAGTTTTGCCTCAGTAGAAACCTATACAAACTTTGGTCCAACATGATTTAATCAGCATCCCAAGGTCCTTTATTATACATAATAGAATTAAACGTTTTTTGTTCAAGTCTGCTTTTTAAGGCGAATGTTTTTTTTTAAGGCGAATGTACTGGGTACTAAGAACTTCTATCGATTCTCTTAAAGAATCGTCGTTGCGCAAGAAGTTTATCCGGTTTCTCAAAGCCAATAATTTCGTAATTAAAATTTTCTTCTCAGAATTCTATAAAACAAACAATAATAATTGTAAGCAAATATTAAAAATTCTAAAACTTACCATTCTCGTTGGCCTAAACGTACGTAACAAATGAATGTGTGAACTATCAATGAAAACTCATCGAAAACACACAATGTCGGTCAGAACGACTTTGGTTCCACAATCTACAAATTGTGTTTTCAAGAGGATTTCAATTCGGTGCGAACATAATATAACGGTTGTTTGTATCACCTAAAACTAATCGAGTTAGATATAGAGTTATGTATATATAAATGAACAGGATGAAGAGACGAGTTGAAATCCGGGCGACTGTATTAAGATGCCCCGCAGATGCCCCGCACATTAAATTTTTTTTAAAAAGTGGGTGTGGTCTAGGCCCCTAATATATTTAAAGTGCATATCTTCTAAACCCCTAAAGCTATAATAACAAAATTCACGGAGAACAAATGTTTTTAGCACCTCTATCGACAGTATGAACTCTATCGAATGGTTGAAAGCGGGTGAAAACCCCGCGCACTCCCCATATTACGGTACTGTTAAAAACTACTACAAGCGCGATAAATCAAGCACTAAACACGCCATAGACATTAAATTTTATCTCTGGGATGGTATGAGATGACTTTATAGGAGTCGACTTCAATATTAGACGGTAGGCGCGGCACCGCCCACTTTTAGGTAAAACCCCATATCTTGGGATCTGCTTAACCGATTTCAACCAAATTCGGTACAGAACATACTTCTCATATTTCTATGTTATAGTACGAAATCTGATTACAACCACGCCTATTTCCCATAGAACACCATTTTTAATTCCATCTGATTCTTTCACTTCGGTCAATGTGTAAGATATATAATTGAAATTCATATAATAAAATAAATAAATGAAATTCTCGATAATAGTATGTTTTGTGTCAAAAATTGGTTGAATCCGACCAATACTTCCTTTAATATAAGATTTTGCCAACACCTGAGGTAATTTCCCGCCTTTGATCCTGGCAATTTGCGAGAGCATAAAATGGTAGGTTACACCCGAACTTAGAACTTCCTTACTTGTTTTTATTTTATATTTTATATAAGGTAAGGAAGAGTATAAACGAACACTTTATACTCTCGCAACTTGCAATGATCAAAGCCGGGGAAACCCCTACAGGTGGTGACAAAACTTTATACTAGAATATAGTGCGAAATAATTCAACATTTATTGTTCATAGAAATTTGGTATCTTATTAACTTATACGAGTATTGAAGGTTACATACTTTCTTAGTTATCTTACTATATTTTACTTTGTTTGCAAGATATATAATATTAAATTCAACCTAATGACCTTAAATGATATATATTGATATAAATTCAACACAAGGTGCTAAATTTAATATATTGGGTTTATGAGGATCGGAACTCTATATATTACGGATGCAAAGTTTACAGAGGCCTACACCAATTTCATTCTTATTCAGCGCTAAACCACATTATTTTTTAGAAAAATCCTCATTTAATTTCATTAATATATCAGAAATATTATTCGATATATCGTAAATGCTCCTAATTACGGCGTATTAAGGTAGATTGATGAATATACACATATTACAGTTAATCAAAAGTCGGACGAATTTAAAAATTATAAACAAATCGTAAAAAAGGATTTTATTTTTCGTATTAACTTTTCAAAAGATAGATCTTAATTTAATGTTTTTTGTTTTTAATGCATTTCTGAAACACTCAATGCGCCCCAATTCTGTGCTAAAATTTTTTCAAATTCTGATTCCGCGCACGCAATTTGTTAGTAAATAATTTAGTTGCACAGTTTATACGTGAAGACAATGAAAAATTAGTATTCACATAAATCATATAAAAAAACAAGTAAGGAAGGGCCAAGTTCGGATGTAACCGTACATATATATATATATACATATACTCTCGCAAAGTCAAATGGTATATTCGTTCTAGATTTCTTTGTGGATCTTGCCGTCTTGTTTTATGTTGACCGATATTTTCGGTAAAAAGTCAACTATTCAGTATCTAGGGGCTTGAACATTTTTGGTTCAATTTAGATAATTTTTGGTCACAATGTGCCATACTTCAAACGTATTATTCACGCAAAGTTTAATGCCGATATAATCATTGCTGCTTGATTTACATGCTTGTTGTAATCAGATTTCGCCCATTTTCGTACTATAACATAGAAATGTGAGAAGAATATTATGTACAGAATTTGATTGAAATCGGTTAAACATATCCCAAGATATGGGCTTTCACCTAAAAGGGGGCGGTGCCACGTCCTCTATCTAATTTAGAACGTGGTTCCTATAAAATCATCTTATACCATTCCAGAGATAAAATTTAATGTCTCTGGTTTGTTTAGTGCTTGATTTATCGCGCTTTAAGACCTTTTTAACAGTACCGTTACATGGGGAGTAAGCGAGGTTGTCACCCGATTTCACCCATTTTCACACCGTCGATAGAGATGCTAAAAACATTTGTTCCCAGTGAATTCTGTTATTACAGCTTCAGTGGTATAGGAGATATGTACATTAAACTTAATACGGGGTGGGATCACGCCCACTTTTAAATAAATTTAAACTGCAGATTCCCGTCCCTAATGTGATCCGGTATACCAAATAAGAGTCTCGTATCTTGTTGTGGAGCTTAGTTATGGCAATTTATTTGTTTTTGATGAATGGCGTTTTGTGGGCGTTGCCATCTGCAATTCCAACCGTCTTACGGTACCAATAAACATGTGTACCAAGTTTCATAAAGATATCTCAATTTTTACTCAAGTTACAGCTTGCACAGACGGACGGACGGACAGACAGTCACCCGGACTTCAACTCGTCTCTTCATCCTGATCATTTATATATATACAAGGTGCTATCCAAAGTAAACAGGACTTTAAAAAAAAAGGCAGATCAAATGGTTTTATCGGCAAAATCAATTAATTTTATTCAAAATAGTCTCCTTCTGCTTCAATGCAGCTTTTTGCACGGTTTAAAAGCATGTCGAACGAGTGTTTTATTTCGTTGCCTGGTATGGCCGCCAGTATGCCGGTGCAAGCCTTTTGAATGGCCTCCACGTCTGCATAACAAAACAAATCAGCATTGTCTTCAATTTTGACTTCTCCAGGCGCGATGTTTTGGGTTTCGGCTCATTTCTCATTCATGCCCTCACGACCACTTTGAAAACGTTAAAACCACTCGTGCACTCTGCTACGGGATAGGCAGTCATCGCCATAAACTTGTTTCATCAATTGAAATGTTTCGGTAAAAGTTTTACCAATTTTAAAACAAAATTTAATGTTGGCTCTTTGTTCGAAGCTCATTTTCGCACCGATGACAAAAACATACTGACACTTAAAACGCAATAACTGCACTTCCAATAGATGAAATATCATGAAACATGAAAGGATAGCAGATTCTAACGCACTAGTCGACATATAGATGGCGCCACTAGAGCTTACTTTTTTACTGTTTACTTTGGAACGCACCTTGTATATAACCCTATATCTAACTCGATTAGTTTTAGGTGATACAAACAACCGTTAGGTGAACAAAACTATTATACTCTGTAGCAACAAGTTGCGAGAGTATAATTACCTTAATAAAGAAATAATACAAAATTACTTATGCTGCTTATGCATTTAATGCGATATATAAACATAACTGTAGGTATACATTCAATAACTTGTACGTGAAATAAAATTATTTCAATGACACTGATATAGTATGTACATATGCATTTACATAAATGAAATAAAATATCTTCTTTTTCTGCCCAACTCCAGTTAGATCCACTCATTGTCATAGTTTTGATTTGAAATTTTACTGGATTTCCATTAGTAATTTTTAACATCTTCTGAATTAAATCTATTATTAATGTTCCGTTTTACTTTCACCTCTAAAGCTTACTATTCTATCTTTTTTTAAATTATTTTTTCTTTCTTAATCTTTTTTTGTTCACCCAAGCGTCGCTAATACTTAAAGTTTTCTGAAGCAGTGGCGACCGCTGGGGTTAATTTTTTCATGAAAAATTTTTTGTTCGGGTTTACTGGTTGGGGCTCTGCCCAGAAAAGAGCATTTTTAAAAGGCGTTGGAAGTTCATTTTTTTTTTCTATTACATTAACTGTGCTTCTTGGTGGAATTCTCGAATTAATATTAACCATTGTTGGGACATCTTCGAATTAATTTCTCGAGCCACTGAGCATGGTATACTGTCCAATATATGTATTGTACTTCACCCTGCTTCGACTTCATGGCCAAGATGGAGTTGAGCTGCTCAAATTATGTTTATTAACTGATTCTTCACTGAAATCAATAATCATGATTTCGTTATACAATGAACAGTTGTTGTTAGCTAAAATACTTGTAATATTAAGATCGGGAAGAGAAGTACTTGCAATGCAACCGCTTGTTTACTCATACTTAACACTTCTACAAAAGTAAAATAAGTTTTCGTCTTTAACATCACCACTACAAGTTCCGCTGCACTCAACACACAGTTTAAAACTTTGTAAAAATTCTTCGGAGTTAGTTCCGAGTGTTTTTGTTGCTTCATAGTTCTCTAAAATGTCTGCAATATTCATGATTGATACTCTGATTATATTGGATGTGTCTCTGATGTTAGGTTTTAAAATTTTATTGTAAGCCACTGCATCTTCGTTAAACGGGAATATGCCACAATTCTTGAAACCATTTCGTAGTATATTAGAAGTAATTACAGATTGTATGCGTTTCGGAACGATAGATCTCTCCGATTCTCCAATTTTGTATTTGCTTTCATCACGGTTGAAAATTCGTGTTGAATCTTCTTAAACATCGAAACAAATGTGGTTTTCAAAGTATTGATTTATTCTTTTAAGCCCACTTCTTATTGAAGATTCTGTTACCGATGCAAGATAAACTTTTAAGCATTGCGAAACACTTTGACTCATTGTGGAATTTCTGTTGAGAAACCCCTACATCCACTTCTTGCTCGGTATATTATTTTTTAAAAAATTCGGTCGATTTAGTTTCTTAACCAAGTTAGTAACACAGCTTACAAGTTGATTATTTGTTACCGGAAAGCCGATTTCCGCCAAATAACAAACCCATTTGACAATAAGGTTTTCCTTCTCTGTCCTTAGTACAACTGAAGATCTTCGGCAGTCTTGTGAATACTTGTATTTAATTTTGTCCAGTACAGTTTGCTTCGGAACACGATATATGTATCTTTGAAACATGTCATCCGATTGATTCTTATTGC